CTTATTCAGATGGGAGTGGGAGTCCTKGGAAATATCTCCCTCCTTTGTCTTTATAACTTCACTTTGCTCACTGGACACAATGTAAAACCCACAGACATGGTCCTCAACCAACTGGTATTAGCCAATTCCATTGTACTTTTCTCCAGAGGGATCCCTCAGACAGTGGCAGCTTTTGGACTGAACTACTTCCTGGATGAAACTGGATGTAAACTTCTCTTCTATTTCCACAGAGTAGCCAGAGGGGTTTCCTTCAGCACCACCTGCTTCCTCAGTGGTTTCCAGGCCATAAAACTTTACCCCAATTTCTCCAAGTGTCTGGAGCTCAGAATGAAATCCCCAAAGTGCATTGCCTTCAGTTGTTTTCTTTTCTGGATCCTGCAACTGTTGATAAATATATTTGTTCCTATAAAAGTGATTGGTCCAATGCACAGCAAAAATTTAAGTGTGAAAATAAATTATGGATACTGTTCCTCACTTAATCCAGATAGCTTTAAAAAGTTTCTAGTTGCATTCTTATTCTTCACAATTGACTTCATGTGTTTGGGACTCATGGCCTGGGCCAGTGGATTTATGGTCCTTTTCCTGCACAGACACAAACAGCGAGTGCAACACATTTACATCCACAGGCGGACTTTTAGACATTCTCCTGAGGGTAAAGCTACATGCACCATTTTGATCCTTGTGAGCTCCTTTTGCATCTTTTACTCATTCTCTTCTGTCTTGCATGTTTGGATGACTCTTGCTGTAATCCCAGGTCAGTGGCTGGTGAATACCTCTATGATTTTGTCTTCATGTTTCCCAGCATTCAGTCCCTTGGTGCTCATTCACAGCGACACTCGTTTCTTTGGTTTCATGGACTGCTAACAAAGAAGCAACTCCTTCCATATTCTCTACAGCTATTTCAGTCATCCCTTCTATCATATGTTAATGTTTAGGGCAAAAAATTGCACATTCTTTATAGAAATGTGTCATTCTATGTAGAATGAGGCAGTTCAATCTTAGACATTGTAAGTCCTATAAGAGGCCTAAAATAAACTTTATGTGCATAAATAAATAAATACTGCTCTAGCTTCAAAGGAAATATTCATGAATATGAAATAGTGTGATAGGGGAAAATATTGTCTGAGATTTAGAGAAAATCTCTGCTTGTGTGGTTTTTGTGCAGAGTGGTAAATGACATGGAATGTAAAATGCACCATTTTAATAAATTTCAAGAAAACAATTCAATGGTGTTAAGTAAATTTATAATGTTGTAAACCTACCTTTACTATTTCCAACACTTTTTTTTTTGATTGACCCAAAAGAAAATGTGTATACATTAAGTGTAACTCTTCATTTCCCGTGCCCCCAGCCTCTGGTATCCTCTGTTTTTTGTCTCTTTGAGTTTGCCTATTCTAGATATTTCATAAAAGTGGAGTAAAATATTTGTTATTTTGAATGTGACTAACACTTCTTAGAATATTTTTCAAAGTTCATCTTTGTTGTGTCCTATATAACTTTATTCCTTTTATGACTATTCCATTGTTTGAATGTATCATTTTTTAAAATTCACAGATCTCTGATGGACACTTAGGTTGTTTCCTACCTTTCAGACACTGCGAATAACGTTACCACGGCCCTGAGTGTACGGGAACCTGAGTTCATGCTTTCAGTTCTTTAGAATGTGTAAACAAGGTCTCAGGTGGCAGTTTCTATACTTTGAGGAACTGCTAGACTCTTTTCCACAATAGCTCTACCAWTTCATATTCCCACTGCCAGTACATAAGGGTTCCAACTTCTCCGCATCCTTGATACTGTTTTTTGTTTGTTTTAGTAGCCATTCTGGTAGATGTGCAGAGGACCCTTGTGGTTTTGATTTGACTTTCCCTATTTTCAATATTCCCTCTCCTCATCAATTTGCCCTTCTCTTCTCACCTCCCATTAGGGACTTATACTTACTTTCTCAAAAGGGAAACTCTCTCCTCTATCACCGCCTTAAGGCCTATTCCATTTCCAGAGGTTCCTGCGTCTGTTCCCCACTCTCATTCCAGATTTGCAGTTGAATCTCTTCTCCGTCTGTCTCTCTTCCACTCCCCACAGATGTCAGGGAAATCCAGATTTCTTCCAGGGAGCAAACTCCACGTAACAAATTGGATCTTCAACAGGAAATGGAAACAGGCTATTTTTAAAAAGTAAATGTATGACTTGAGTCTATCACTTGAGGGTTTTCTTCTCCCTTTATTCAGATCACAAAATCATTTCCCTCCACAGGTGTGACGTTAAGTGCTGTTCTCTGCCGATTTTCACATACCGAGGGCTGCGAGGGCTCTGGATTCACCCTTCAGCACCCTTCAGGCTGACAAGCCGCGTGGGACCTCCGGGATGTTGGGCGGGAGACTGACGTCACACGTCACTGTCCCCACTGCCAGCAGCAAGACCTCCCTGAGCAGCCACGGGCGGTGGGCGGACTTGCTCCCTCCTGGAGGAGCAGCACCTCAAGCTTCTTTTCTGCCTTCCCTCGGGTTTCTCGGGTGGCCGTCTTGGTGGCCGTGTCTCACTGGGCGGCTCTCCACCCTCGTGGCTCTCTCCCAGAGCTTCTCCACTTTCCCTTTTGTGTCTGCAGATCAGCTTCTCAGGAGGAAGTCACTTCTGCCCTGGGCTGAGCTCAGCGCCTACATCCCAGGTCGGCTGCACCACGAGTGGACTCCGGCCCTGTCTCTGCTCCTGGACCCAGCCCCCGAAACCCGCTAACGTCACGGGAGAGCGAGCGAACGGCCGTTCGCCTGCGCGCAGGGCGGACACGCCTCTCCGCGTCCACGTGGAAACTCCAGTAGAGACCACTTGGCCGCGATCCCTTTAAGAAGTGCGAAGCCCCGCCCCGCTTTCCAAAGGCGGTGACGCTATCTCCCAGCGCCCCGTGAGGCCAATCGGCTGCGGTTCCCCGAGAGGCACGCAGACCGCCCTGCGGAGCGTGAGAACTACGTTACCCAGAATGCCATGCTAAGACCTGGCCAATGAGCGCTCGGCAGAGGGCGCCGCCGCGTTTGTTCTGTAGCTCGGGGCGGGACTTCCGGCGTCGCTCCCGGACGGTCGTAGTGATAGCTTTCCGGTTCCGCACGCTCCATCAGCTATAGGGGTCCTGGGTGGTCTTCGCGGCACCACGGCGAAGCCGATGGCTGTGGCCGCGCCGCAGGACTCAGGGGGGGTAAGCGCCGCGTCCCCCGGGCCGCCCGAGTCCTGGATCCCCGAGGGGCTGCGCGCGTCCTCCTGTGTCACTCCACCTTTCAGGTCTCGGTGTCCAGAACGACGCGGGGCTCAGGGGCGGGTCCCCACTTCCCAAGCTGGTGTCCAGGGTGTGGGGAGCGTGACTGCCGAAGGGACTGGTTTCTTTATTTCACTAGGACGGTTGAGCCAGCAGCAATCAGGCGTTTCACCCTTATCCTCAGGGTTTTGCCAGCCAGGGAGTGCTGTGCTCAGAAGAGCGTGGTCTGCGTTGAGTTTTTCAAAGTTTCCAAACGCAATTCAAAGTTAGAACATCTGGAAAGGGGATAGCACCGAGGTGCAGCAAAGATGGAGTCCTAGTGCAAGTTCTCACCGTAGTTCACAGCACCCAGGACTGGGGCACTGAGGCCACCCATAATGCAGTCATCCCCAGGGCTGGACGGGGGAAAAAAGGAGGCCTGAGTCAGGGGAACCCCCTCCATGGTCACTTGTCTCTCTTCGTCATCTCACAGGCTCCCATGACTACAAAAACCCTTATGGACTTCGCACAGGTGAGTAGAGGGTGTGCCAGGACTTCCATGATTCTGATCCCACTCTGTCTTTTAATGTTCTGGGGATCTTCTCATGTTACTTCTCTACTTCTTTGATCCTGAGCAACTACATCAAGCCCAGGAATCACATGTCTAGACTAGGGGCTATCTGAAGTGGTTTCTTTTGCTGGAAACTAGTACAGTAAGGTGTGGAAGGTTGTCCCAAGTTTAGATAATTGGAAAGCAAATGCTAGAATGTAGGGCTGAGCTGTTGAGGAAAGCAGGGAGTTGAAAGCTAAAGAACAGAAATCACACTGTGATGGTTTTCTCAGATTTTCTGTGTCTCTTCTGGAATGAGACAAGTAATGCAAGTTTTGGATCAGAAGATGGAGATCTGACCCAAGTCTCAAATTTCCTGTGGCTACAACATGGAGACCAGACTGTGGGTGTGAAGGGTGGGATAGGAGGAGCAAAGATAAGCCTACTGTAGCAGTCAGGTGAGAGCTAATAATGGCTGGACCAATGTGGTGGCCATGCAGTTGGTAGCTGTTGGTATCTATATCAGTTTTTTTAAAGTAAGAAAGACCAGGTTTATAGATACTGAGGGTGAGATATTCTTACTTAAGAATCTGTAGTTCATGGAAGTGGGGTATTTGGGTCTAGTAGCTAGAAATATAGAAGCTCCACTAAGCAAGATAAGTTCGTAGTAGGGTCAATTATTGGAATATTCACAGTTTTGTTTTGGGACATCTTTAGAGGCTGAGATATTTCAAAGAACAGTTAGTTTAGACATCAAATGGATAGTTAACTACACAGGACTACAGCTTTGGGGAGGGATTCAGGACACATCCAGAAGGTAGTGGTCAGTGTTTGTCCTGGGTGTAGCTTGGGTCACCATTAAAAGGGAATCCTGGTTTGCTGGTAATGCTATTAGGAGCCTGGGGAACCCATGGGTGTGTCTTGTGCTTGGGTCCTTGGGTGGTAGTTGTGGGAGTCACAAAGATGTGGGAGAGAAGTGAAAGGTGTGGGAGAGAGGATGGTCTGCCAGTTTGCCATGAAATCAGTGTGAAGGCCTAGGAGTAACTGAGGTACTGAAGCTAGGACTAATGCTTATTCAACATACTTTATATCCACAAGAATTTTGTAGAATCCGTGGTGTTTCTTTCGAGTTTCATAAATTAGCAGCATAAATTTTCATGAGGAGAGTTGGTGTTCCTGAGGTGTAAGGCTACTGTGGCAGGCCATTGAATGAAGGTCAGGAGGAGAGGCAGGCAGTTCCTGGAGGGGGGCATATCAAGTACAGCACAAGCGGAAGTGGGCTGTGGTTTCTGAAATCTGAGGCCGTTCTGGGTTGCTGAGGTTGAAACAAGGAGCTCAGTCAGCAGAGGAGCTGTTGTTGGGATGTGGCCTGAGTGTTCCTGAAGGATTCATGTGTTGAAATGTGAATCCCATCCTGACTTATTAACAGTGGAAACAATCTGTGATGTTTAGAGGTTGAGCCTTTGGGAAGTGATTCGGGCTATGTAGAGTTGTTAGGACGTAGCCTGTGGTAGGATTCTGCTGGCTGTGTAAGTAGAAAAGAGATTGCACACACACGTGCGTGTTTCCTGTGTCTTGTCATGTTATGCCCTGAGCTACTTGAGGAGACTGCCAGCAAGAAGGCCATCTCACAGGAAGTGTTTAGACCTTGCACCTCCAGAACTGTGAGCCCAAACTTCCTTCTTTATACAGTAGTTTGCCTCAAATATTTTGTTATGCTAGTAAAAATGGACTAATGTGGCCTGCAGAACAGGACAGGGACTGCCTCTGGCAGTGGGGACTACCAAAGCTCTGGGTAGTACTAGATCTTATATCAACTTGCCAAGCTTTTTCGATGCCATGTTCTGAGTAATGTGGTGAAACCAGAAAGATGCCTGTGGTATGGGACACAGGGGTGGAGGTGGCTGAGGAGCGAGGCTATGTGAGAAGTGTAGTTCAAGGAGTGACGTTTACACTATGGGGATTGTGAGCTAAATGACCAATGGCCTGGCATTGAGGACATCAAAGATGATGAGCCCAAATTTGTGTCTGAGAGGCACAATCTTGGGACCCCAGGAAAATCACCTGGCTTTTGGGGATCTGGCCCTATGTTGCAGTAATTCACTTGCAGGTCAGCATGGGAAAACAAAGAAGAAGAAGAAGCAGAGCAAGCAAAGCAGCAGCAGAAAAAAAAGTCCTTTATTGTGTACAAGCAATCTTTTTATAGTATTGTGAACAAAAAAGGCAGCCTTCCAACTTCAATAAGTCAGGTCTTTCAGCTAATTAAACATATCACA